GGGCAGCTGCTACTGTAGTTACCTTTCCACTGTCAGCCCATTCTCACTCTGAGTGTCAAGAAACAAGTATGTTCATGGCTCCCATGCCTCCACCCATGTCCCCTAACTAATGCCTGCCTCTGCCACCTAGCTCTGCTAGTGGCTGAAACCCCCACCCCAACACCGATGGCTCACCATCACCATGGCTGTAGGGCTCAGCTGTGGACTCCTGCTGCTTTCAGGCTGCACCTGTCAGGCTTATTAGACAATCTTGAAACTAACTATTACACCTGTAGAGCTGGGTGTGGGCACACACCTTTAATCCCAGCATTCAGGAGGCAAAGGCAGGCAGATTTCTATGAGTTTGAGGCCAGCCTGGTCTACAGAGTTAGTTTGAGGATGGCCAGGGCTACACACAGATAACTTTGTCTCTCAAAACAAAAGAAAAATGGGAAAAAGTTATTAATTAGTGATACAGGTTGTTTTCATTTACTTATTTTTGTAGTATTTTATATTCATGAACATTTAGATTTTTGTTTTGGTTTTGTTTCTTGAGATAGGGTTTTACACTGTAGCCCAGCTTGACCCAGAACTGCTGAATAGTTTTGAATAGCCTTGAATTTAGCAATAATCCTGCCTCAACCTTTTGAGTGCTGAGATTACGCTTAAAAAGGCACTAAGCCTTTTGCATTGTAGAGTTTTATGTGACCATTTATCTCTGTTGCTTTTGCCTGTGATATAATGGTTACAAAGTCATTATTACCAGGTCACTTTTAGTATTCTGATTTGTGTGAGTTCTTGTGTGCAGGTTGCATGTCTGTGCACAGAGTGTAGAGGCCAAAGGTCTGTCTTGAGTGTTCTTTGCTAAGAAACTCTTAACTTTGGATTTTTGTTGTTTGTTGAGACAGTCTCTTCAATAGGCTGGAGTTCCCTAAGCAGGCCAGATGGACTGGGCTAGCCTGTGAAGCTGAGGAGGTCTGCCTGTCCTGACCTTCAGCACTGGGTTACAAACCCTTAATGTTATGCCTTTTTTTCCCACAGGGTCTGGAGTTAGAACTCAGGCCTCACGCACATTGGCTAGCACTTTACTGCTGAGGGACTCCTCAGCCCTGATTTAATTTTTAACATTTAAAAATTGGGGGTTGTTGAGGTAGCTTGGTGGGTAAAAACCTGCAGGAGAGACTGGTTACCGAAAGTTTTGCTCATCCACATAATGTGCTTGCATTCACATACTCAAAATAATTTGAATAAAATACAAAGGTGTTAAATATTTAGGAATTAGATACTATCTTTATCTCTAGTTGGAATCTCTAACCCCCCTTTGTCCTGTCAACAATATTAATCTTTATTTTGGGATATACTTAAGGGTGAAACAAACATGAATGGGACTGTGTAATTTAAATGTGAATCCATTTTATCTAGATAAGTTAAATGTCTCCGTATAGAAAATAGCTGTTGTTTGTGACAGGGCAGGTTGTCAAGCTGTTTTGTTTTTGAGACAGGATTTCTCTGTGTAGATTGGGCTGTCCCGATCTCACTCTGTTAAACCAGGTTGACTTGGAACTCAGAGATCTGCTTGCCTCTGCCTCCTGAATACTGGGATTAAAGGCATGCGCCACCATTGCACAGCTCAAACTGTATCTTAAGTGATGTGGGACGTCCTTCTCTATAAGTGTTGGTTTTATTGGATAATGCATAAAGCTGTTTTGGCCAATGGCTTAGGCTGGAAATCCAAACAGATATATAGAGAGAGTAGGCAGAGTCAGGGAGACACCATGTAGCTGCCGAAGGAGACATGCTGGAACCTTACCAGTAATCCACAGCCTCATTCCAATACACAGATGAATAGAAATGGGTTAATTTAAGCTATAATAGCCAGGAATATGTGTAAGCTATTGGCTAAGCAGTGTTGTAATTAATATAGTTTCTGTGTGATTATTCAGGTCTGGGCGGTAGGGGAAACTAAAGAGGCGTCTCCTAACTACACTTAAGGAAGCAGCTCCTCTAAATTCTATTTCAAATTACATTTAGTAGGTTATATCAATTTTTAGTTAAGGGGTATTATGAACTGCACAACACATGCAACTGAATTTGTCTTTGACTGGCAAGAACAGGCATAATGGTTATATAACTTGTTTCATTTTTATCTATTTTATAAAAGAAATTCTAAGCCTTAAGGTTGATAATGATAATCATTTTGGCAAGGATTTGGGAGGGCATACTTATGTATAATGTGTGTGTATACAAAGTGTGTGTGTGCACATGACATGCATGCACGTGTGTTAAGTGCATGCACATGTGCCATTGTGTGTGTGAAGGTCTAAGGATAACCCTGGATGTCAGTCCTTCCCCTTTTGCTTTTCTACTGTGTATGATGTTCAGTCTCTACCTTCCTCTTCCCCATAGGAGCATTGCGATCGCAGACTGGGGATTCAAACTCAAGTCCTAATGCTTGCATGGGCATGGTTTTACCCACTGAGCCTTTGGAAGTTAAGATTTTTTTCTTAGTGTTTTGGAGAACTGTCTAAATATCTTGGTTAGTACATTTTTGGTTCTGCTTTGCATTATTTTACCCCCGAACCGGAATTTGGTTATGAATTCCCAGCTATATTTTTCTTGTATTATTCTGTAATGGCCAGTTGTCACGTAAGTATAACTTATTGATGCTAGTGCATTTTACTGCATACATTCTCAAAAACTTTTTATTTTTCTGTAGCAGAAAGGGCATTTCTGGGGGCTGTAGGAATAGCTCAGTGGTTAAGAGTTCTTCCAGAGGTCCTGAGTTCAATTCCCAGCACTCACATGGTGGCTCACAAACATCTATATCTGTAGTCTCCATGGTATCCAGTGTCCTCTTCTGGTGTGTGAAATACCCATATACATAAAAGTTTATAAATTAATTAATTAAAAAAGAAAGCCATTTCCAAAATTAGCGGCTCATTCCTTAAGAACTAGGTTTTAATGTTAATTTGAATATCTTCATCCCATGAAGATCACAGTTCTATTGGCCTTCCTGAGCGTATAGTCTCTCTTCTCGGCAGCAGTTGTTGACTTTGCAGAAACCATTGGTATCTATACTTTTTCCTCTCCCGTGTTAGAGATGGAACCCAGGGCTTGGTGTATGCTGTAAGCTTTCTATCACTGAGCTGTGTGTGTACCTAATTTAATCTGACCTTTGTGTGACTAATGATCTTATGCCCAAAAATATGCTGAGTTTGTAGTTTGTTTTCCTGCACAGAGTGACCTGCCTTCCTCTTTTTTGCAACCAATGTTGTCATCAGTTGAGTTAGTGTTAAGTAGCTGTAATACAAAGTGAACTAAGATAGCAAAATTTCTGTCATAACTTACATACATTCAAAAGCATTTGGTGAAATTGAGGTCAGGAAAAATGATAAAACTGAATTTGTTTCCTTTTTAAATTTTCATTCATTTAAGTATGAGTTCCTTGACTTCTTGTGTATCTGAGTACCATGTGTTTGTCTGGTGCTCAAGGAAGACAGAAGAATTTGTAGTACCCTCTGGAGTTGGAGTTACAGGGAGTTGTGAGCCACCCTGTGATTGCTGGGAATTGAGCCTGGGTCCCCTAAAGAGCAGTCAGTCTCTTAACTGATGAGCCATCTCTCTAGCTCCTCTCTGTATTTGTTTTTGGTTTTTCATGTCAGGGTTTCTCTTTGTAACAGCCTTAGCTGTCCTGAAACTAGTTCTGTAGACCAGGCTGGCCCCGAACTAACAGAGATCCTCCTGATTTTGCCTCCAGAGTGCTGAGATTAAAGGCGTGTGCCACCACTGCCTGGCCATACTTGTTTTTTAAAAACATGTTTTTAATTAATTAAACTTTATATTTGTGCACGTATGTGGAGATCAGAAGACAGTTGGAGGAATCAGTTCTGTCCTTACACCCTTTGGATCCCTGTGATTGTGCTCCAGTCTGTAGGCTAAGCTGCAAAGCTCCTTTATTCACAAAGCCGTTTTGGCAATCCCTAAATTGTTCTTTTTTGATTGCTTGTTTTATTTGTTTGTTTGTTTTTGACAAAGTTTCTCTGTGTAGCCCTGGCTATCCTGAAACTTGCTCTGTGGGCCAGGCTGGCCTCAAACTCAGATCTAACTGCCTCTGCCTCTTGAATGCTAGGGTTAAGGGTATGTACCACCACCACCCAGCTCCTAAATTATTCCTTTAAAAAGTACCGGTTCCTGCTGGGTCGTAGGGGTACACACCTTTAATCCCAGCATTCAGGATGCAGAGGTAGGCAGATCTCTGAGTTTGAGGCCAGCATAGTCTATAGAACAAGTTCTAGGATCACCAGGGACACACACACACACACACATACACAGAAGACACCTTGTCTGGAAAAACCGAAATCAAACAACAACAAAACAGTTCTAACAAGTCAGAAATATATGAATCCTGTCGTCCTGGATCTTTAGATAGATGTATTATATACTGTTAGTGCTTGTGAAATATATGCAGAACTAAGCTGAGTATTTGAGATTGGCTAAGGTGCCCAATGGAGTATGTTGACAAAGCTGCCTTCTAGATACTGGCTTTGCTGTTATTTTGATAACTTAAAATTATCCAGTTTTGTTAAAGAAAAAAAACACTTAAGTTTCTTAAGTAATGGGCTTCTGTATGATACATATAGCTAAATACCACACCTTTGTAATTTATAATATTCCAGGTGCTATTCTATTTCACAATAATAATTCTGAACAATTATGTGCAATGTTAAAGTTTTTATGAGTTATAGAAATTTATTCATTGCATTTTTTTCATGCAAGCCTCTTTTCTGATAATGCTGTGTATTTATAATGCTGTGTATTTTAATCAGCCATTAAAATCTGCTATTAAATCCTGTTTTTTTTTTAATTAGAGAAGAGTTTATTTGGGGCTTACAGTTTTAGAGGGTTAAAGTCCATGACCATCATGGCAGGCAGCATAGTTCTGGAACAATAGCTGCTAAATCACAGAGCAGAAAATTAAATTAAAACGTTAAAAATAATTATTTTTCTTATTATTATTACAGCTTTACCAACAGGGACGCTTATGTCAACTGGGCAGTGAATTCTGTGAATTGGAAGTTTTTGCTAAAGTTTTGAGAGCTTTGGATAAAAGGTAAAATTTGTGTGTATGTGTATTGGCTTTCACGCATTTGTCTGTCCTTCCTTCTGAGTCTCATGTGGCCCAAGATGGGCTTGAATTTGCTAAACTTCTGATCTTCCTTCATCTGCTTCATGAGGCTTGAATTACAGATAGGAGGAGACAGCCCTCCCCCCAATAAAAAGACTACTAAAACATATGCCATAAAATTTGCTACTTATACCATTTCAAAATGTATGATTCAGGGGCTGGAGAGATGGTTCGGTGGTTAAGAAGACTGGTTGCTCTCCCAGAGGACCCAGATACAATTCCTAGCACCTATAGGACAGTGCCTATATGGAACTCTAGTTTCGGAGGTACTGTATCCTCTTCTGGCCTTCAAGGACAATAGGTGTACATGCGGGCAAAACACTCATCATACACATAAAATGATAAAATAGTATATAATTCAGTGATATTAAGTATACTTGCTTGTTCAGCCATCAGTAATAGACATTTGCAGAATGGTTTCACCATTAAAATTTATAAGTAGACAAAAGACCACGGAATACTATGGTAGCAAGTTCCATGGAGTGGGACGATAACTCAGTGAAAAGCTTTGAATAACAAAAATAAGAGTTATACTTTATTTGACGGGAAAAGGTCAAAGAACATATTTTTACTTTATAAATACACATAAAGAAAGCTCTTAGTGAAGGGTTTGATAGTTTTAAGGCAGGGTGTCATGTAGCCCAGTCTGGCTTTAGATGTTGGTCTTTCTTTACCTTACACCTTACTGAGAGATATTCTCTATATCTATCTCGGTCTTGCTCTCTCTTCCTTCCTTCCTTCCTTCCTTCCTTCCTTCCTTCCTTCCTTCCTTCCTTCCTTCCTTCCTTTCTCTTTCTCTTTTCTTTTCTTTACAGGGTTTCTCTTTGTAGCTTTGGAGCCTATCCTGGCATTCATTCTGTAGACCAGGCTGGCTACCTCTGCCTCCCAAGTGTTAGGATTAAAGGCATGTGCCGCTACACCTGGATGCCAGTGTCTTTCTTAATGTTCACTGTCACATATGCCAGGCTAGCTGACCTGTGAAATTCTAGCAAGTTTCTTATCTGTGCCTCCCATCTTCCTGTAGGGCTGCACTGGATTTCTAATGCTTGTACTACTGTGTCCAGCTTTTATGTGTATGCTAAGATGCAGACTTGTTGTCAGGCTTGTGTGGCAATTGCTGAGCCATCTCCCCAGACCCATTGTCTTATTTTTGGAGTATATGTGATTTTTAAAATTTATTTCATATGCATTGGTATTTTGTTTGCATGTGTCTCTGTGTGAGGGTTTTGGATCCTCTGGAACTGGAGTCACAGACAGTTGTGAGCTGCCATGTGGTTGCTGGAAATTGATCCCTGGACCTCTGGAAGAACAGCCAGTACTTTTAACCACTGAACCATCTCTCCAGCGCCACTATATGTGATTTTTAAAGCTAGCTCCATCCTTAGGTACCATCAGGTTACAGACGTAGCCTCTCTTACCTTGTTTTGTTTTAGAAAACAATGGTATCATATTTAATAGAGGAGCAGCTATCTCTAAAGGGGCAAAATCAATTGCCTCTCTAGAATCACCTTTCTCTTCTCTTTCAGACATTTGCTTCATCATTGTTTTCAGGCTTTGATGGATCATGGTGTTAAAGTTGCTTCTGTCCTGGCCTACTCATTCAGTAGACGGTGCTCTTACATAGCAGAGTCAGATGCTGCAGTAAAGGAGAAGGCCATCCAGGTTGGCTTTGTGTTAGGTGAGTAATGGGAAAGTAGAGGAGTGTTTATTCTGTAATGGCCTTGAATTAAACCTAACAATAAGGGTTCCTGCAAGAGTTCCCACAGTCTGCAGATTGTGAGCAATTGTCATACCTAGGCGTGGCCTATTCAACTTTAGCATGTAAGTGGTGTCTTCCTGAATTCTCGTGGCATTCCAGCACAGTGACAGTAATAGTATTTGCATATGCCGAAGTAGACTTAATGAAGTTGAGTAAGTGGATCAGCTCATAACTTTTAGTGAGCTATGTTTAGAATCCCGTCTCTGTGATCCCAAAGCACGCCTTTCTGCTGTGCCATGCTGTCACCAAATTCTTTAACTGCTTACCGTATGCTGTGACATAAGACTTAAATCTTTTTAGGGCCTTGTTTTCCAAAATTAGGTATTTTTATTTTTTTGTGGAAATACTTTATAAGCAGAAACCACTTTAAAATATTATGGGAAGGGATATAAACATATATCCCTTTATATTTATATATATATACTTACATATAAAAGTAAGATGTTAATATTATTAATTAATTAATATTAATATGGAATGTTTGATTTAGGTGTTTTGTTATAAGCATGTCATTGTAGCTTAAGTTTACTGAGTCACTTAATATTACTGATTTTCTTGCTCTTCAGGTGGATTTCTTTCCGATGCAGGCTGGTACAGCGATGCTGAGAAGGTTTTTCTGTCTTGCCTTCAGTTATGTACTCTACATGACGAGATGCTTCACTGGTTTCGAGCAGTGGAGTGTTGTGTGAGGTAAGCTTGGAGCAGATCCTATGATTAGGTGGTACTTAGCTATAGGGGTACTTGGTGTTAGTGGTTTGGGCTCAGAATTCTGGGTGTACTCCCAACAATTGATTAAATCTCTTAGATGGTAATTATGCCATGTTTTCAGTAGTCCAGTCTCCATCTCCAAAATGTTCATGAGTCCTAAGCACTTGAACCTTTTATTTCCATAAAAATATATTAGATCTTTAGAAAAAATGCTATCTGATCTTAGAAAACGTAAGGAGAGAGACTCATTTCTCAGTTCGCTTTCAGCCTGTGCTGTTCTTTTCACTTTGACTCAATACCCGACAGAATCAGCTTAAAGAAGAAAAGATTTCTTCTGGCTTACATTTTAGGGGTTCATGTTGTTCATGGTAACTTGACCCCATTCTGCACTCACAGATAAACGTGGTAACAGAAGCACGTCGGAGCAGGAGTGCAAAGAAAGAGTCAGGACAAGTTGTAGCCCCCAAGGATGTGCTCCTGGTGACCTACCTACCTTTTCCACCTAGGTCCCCGTAACACCGTCATGTCATTCATTAATCCATTGATTAGTTCCCAGTCCTCATGGTCTGTCTCTAGGAACCCAGAGGTTCTGCTTTATTAAGTAACCTAGGCATTTATTAAGCCAATTAAGTTGACAGTTAAGATGCTCACATTCTGTATTTGTGTGTGTGTATGCGTGTGTGCATGTGTGTCTGTGTGTCTGTCTCCGTGTCTGTTTTAAGACATTGTCTCACTATGTGACCCTGATTGACCTGGAACTCACAGAGATCTGCTTGTCTTTTGTCACCGGAGTACTGGGATTGAAGGTGTGTGCCATCACATTCATATCATTCCATATTCATTTTATCTGTCTGTCTGTCCTTGTTTGATTAGTTTATCTAGACGGTTTCTCTGTGTGTAGCTCTGGCTGTCCTGGAACTCTGTGTACACCAGATTGACTTGAATTCACAAAGATCCAACTGCCTCTACCTTCTGAGTGCTGAGATGAAAGGTGTGCACAACTGCCACCTGGCAGTATTTATTCCTTTAATAATTTATTTTTATAACTAATTACAAATAATATATTTATAGTTATAAATCATTTTAAAATTTTAGATTTGTTTAAATTTTATGTGTATGAGTGTTTTTGCCTGTGTGTATATATGTGTAGCATGTAGGAACATTGACTGCAAAGGTGAGAAGTGGGCATGGGGTCCCCTGAAACTATAGTTACAGGTGGTTGTGAGCCACCATATGGGTGCTAAGAATTGAACACAGGTCTTCTGCAAGATAGTAAGCACTCTTGTTTTGTTTTTGAGACAGAGTTTGGTTTCTCTGTATAATTTTGGAGCCTGTCCTGGAAGAGTAGTAAGCACTCTTAATTGCTGAGCCATCTCTCCAGTCCCTTAGTTTTGTTTGTTTGTTTGCTTGCTTGCTTGCTTGTTTTGAGCTAGGTCTTTTTACATAATCCTGGCTGTCCTAGAACTCACTAAGAGACCAAGCTGGTCATAAACTCACAGAGATCTGCTTGCCTCTGCCCCTCAAGTGCTAGGGTTAAAGGTGTGTGCCACCATACCAAGTTTAGTCCCTTAATTTTTTAAAAAAAAATTAGATTTATTTTTGTATTTGGTGAAGTGGGGGCAGGAAGTTGAGGTACATGCAGCAGTGTTCATGTGGAGGAAAGGACAGCTTGCAGGAGTCAGTTTTCTCCCTCCGGCATTTGGGCCATAGGTATTGAACTCAGGTTGTTAGGCCACTTTTACCCTCTGAGCCTTCTCAACAGCTGGTATTATATAATTTGTTTTTGTCTCATCTGTCTAGTAATTTGCTTACTCTTTTTATTTCTTTATTTTATTTTTGGTTTTTCGAGACAGGGTTTCTCTGTAGTTTTAGAGCCTGTCTTTGAACTAGCTCTTGTAGACCAAACTAGCCTCTGCCTCCCAAGTGCTGAGATTACACACACACACACACACACACACACACACACACACACACACACACACACACACACACACACACACACACACACACACACACCCTTAGTCTCTTTACAAATTGTTTGTGGGGCTGGAGCTATGTCTCAGAGGTTAAGATCAATTTCCAGCACCCAGATGGTGGCTCACAATCACCTGTAATGAGATCTAGTGCCCTCTTCTGGCCTGCAGTTACACATGCAGGCAGAACCCTGTATACATAATAAATAAATAAATCTTTTAAAAATTTGTATTTGTTTGTGGTGTGTTTGTGTACATATTCATGTGTATGTGCACATGGGTAGACACATATGTGAATCTATGTCGAGTCATGTAGTTGACATCAAGTCTTCCCTGACTGCTTTTCCACTTTATTTGCTGAGGTAAGGTCCCATCTAGCTATTGAGTTTGCTCCAGGAATCCCCTGTCTCTCCCTCCCAAGAACTGGAATTACAGACTGCCACCAAGCCTACCCCCTTATTATATAGGTAGGTTCTGGGGAATCCAAACTCTGGCCCTTAGGTTTCATGGCAAACACCTCCACTGAGACATCTCTCTAGCCAATTTTCATTTTGTTTTGACTCTGTGGTGTGCAGGTGCACGTGAATGTACACATAGGCTCACATATGCCCTGCCCCTTGTGTGGGAGTCAGAGGACAACTTTTAGGATTCTATTTTCTTGTTTCACTAAAACCTGGGGACCAATCTCAGGTCATCGGGTTTCACATGCATCACTGCCTTTGCCCTTTGAGCCATCTCGTCAGTCCAGCTCTTCTGTCTTGCAATAAATATATTTATAAACTGAATGACTGAATGACTTCTATGTTTGCTTTTTTCTCATTTGAAACTTAACATAGTTTGACATGGTAAACAATAGTTGCTTTTTAGCCCAGCATGATGGCATATACCTTTAATCTCAGCACCTGAGATGCAGAGGCAGGAGGGTCTCTGTGAATTCTAGAACTGCCGGGACTATGTAGAGACCCTGTCTCAAAAAAAAAAAAAAATTAACCAACCAACAACAACAAAAATAAACCCAGTTACTTTTTGCGGTAGTAGTTGATAAGGGAGGTGTGATTTCACATTGTTAATTGTGAAAGTGCAAGTGGGAACCTTGGCAACACACCCTTTGCTCAGACCTGTGAAATGCACCAGAAGTTCCTTGGCTCTTCCATCCTGCTTACTTTCAGGATGGATACACAGAGTATCCATAGTGTATGTTTGAACAGACCACCAATGGGACTGGAGGAAGCACCAGGCAGTGCCTTTCTGGCATTAAATAGTCTATCATCTCTGCATGTGCCAGTTACAAAGTAATGGCCAGAAATGATCTTCCTCCTGGAGTACTCATGGTAAATAAAGGGCATTGGCAACTCCTGATTGCCTTTCACTCGAGAGAGTCTCATGTATACCAGGCCATCTTTGAACCGCCTGTGCAGCTGAGAATTACCTTTAACATCTGATCCTCATGACTCCACTGTCCAAATGCTGGGATGGCAGATCACACCACCGTGTCTAGTTTATGTGGTTTGAACCTAGGGTTTTGTGTAATTGGAGGTTTCTCTCCAGCCCACCAGTTCCTGAATAGTCACTCTAAGGTTTAATATTAATTACAAACTGTTGCACCTATTAGCTCTATCTATTAACTATCTCTTACAACTTAAATCAATCCATTTCTACTATTCTGTATTTTACCATGATGCTTGTGGCTTGTTACATCACATCTTGCTTCTCCAGCAGCCGTTGGTGTCTCCTTGACTTCCCCTTTTCTCCCTGTATCTCTGAATTTCCCACCAGACTCTATTCTGCCTGGCTGTTGGCCAAAACAAACTTATTTATTAACCAATGGTAATAACATATCCACAACATACAGAGAGACATCCCACATCAGTATCATGCATGCTAAATAGGCATACTACCAGCTGAGCCACATGCTCTGTAGCATGAATTCTAATTGTTCTTAATAATAAAAACCAGGAGTCAGCTATCAGGGGTGAAAGCTGAAGGATCAGAGAAGCAGAGCGGCAACCACTAGAGAGTTCTTACCTCTGCCAGTGCTCAAACCAAAGGGGTAATCCTGTCTCCGTGAATCCCCAAACTGAAAGCTCTCTCTATGAACCTCAGACTGCCTCTCTGGCCGAATCCTCAAACTGAATTCCTCCAGCTCCTGTTTCTTCCTATATTATATTCCTCTCTCAGTCCAGTAGTATTCCTCCTTGTCTCCACCTCCCTAGTGCTGGGATCAAAGGTATATGACTCCCACATACTGAGATTAAAAGTGTGAGCCACCACTACCTGGCTCTCTCTCTGAGACTGGATCAATCTTTAGTAGTGGAGGTGGGTGGCCTTGAACTCAGAGATCTTTCTGCCTCTGGGAGTGCTGAGATTAAAGGTGTGTGCCACCACTGCCTGGCCTCTGTTTCCTAGTAGTTTAGCTCTGTACTCTCATCTTCAGGCAGGCTTTATTTGTTAGATTACAAACAAAATATCACTACAATCCTCAGCCCTGTTGTTATTTTGTATTTGTATACAAGGTCTTTCTATGGTACCCAATATGGCCTCAGACTCATTCTGATCTGTTGATCTGTTGATTTGTTTTTTTCTTTCTTTTTATTTTTACTTTATTTTATTTTTTTGGTTTTTCGAGACAGGGGTTCTCTGTAGTTTTGGTGCCTGTCCTGGAACTAGCTCTTGTAGACCAGGCTGGTCTCGAACTCACAGAGATCCGCCTGCCTCTGCCTCCCAAGTGCTGGGATTAAATATTTTTATCTGTAGATGCTTTACTCTTAAGTTCATATTCTGCTCAACCTTGACTGCCCTGCTCAGAAATATAGTTATTCCACCCACCATCTAGGATATCGAGATTAATTCTCCTTCCCTCCATTCCTTTCTCTTCTCCAGTGCTAGGGACTGAATTTAGGGCCTTACACATTATTAGGTATGGAGGGCCTCTACCACCTAGCTGTGCCTGCTTCTCACATGGTTTTGACAGTTTCATTATTTAGACCTAGCTCTGCCTCTAGAGTACTGATATTAATGCCCTGCTTTGTTTTCTTTTAAATGTCTTTTATGCTTTATCGCCTCTGGGTTCTAAGCATTTTCAGAATGTAGTGGCCTTGTAAATAGACATTGCGTTCAGCCAGCACTATAACAGATAAGTATTTGTCCTATAGTCTGTAGATGTATAGTCTACTGCGGCCTTTATGTTGATACACTTGCGTACTCATTAGGTTGTTAGCAGGTTAAACATTTTTTTGTGTGGTGTGCTCAGGATTTTCAGCCACAGAGGGTATAGGACAAATAGGTATTACCGTTGTGTCATTGAACTTACCTTAGTGGTACAGTAAGCTAAAATGAACACTTAGGAAGCAGCACGAATGAGAGCAGTGGCAGCTGATGAAGTGATACACAGACATCCAAAAACTGATGAAACTGAGAAAGAACGGTAATGGTAGGTGTAATGTGTCAGATTGTTTTTTATTTTCTTCACTATTTTCTGCATTGTATTTGAATTTGGAGCAAGAAGGATTCTTTTTGTTGTTGTTGTTTAACACACGCTGAATACACAAAATATATGAATATTTAGAGAACAGCGTGAATCGACGAGATTCATCACAAGAAGCTCTCAGCATTATCAGCAGTGCTGTAGATAGAACAGTTCTTTCTAGTGCAGCCTCATTTCTTGTGTCCACTGTCTTGTCATTTAGGTGCTGCACCATTATTTTTTTTTTTATTTTTTATTTTTTAAATATTTATTGATTGATTTGTTATGTATACAATAGTCTATCTGGGTGTATGCCTGCAGGCCAGAAGAGGGCACCAGACCTTATTACAGATGGTTGTGAGCCACCATGCGGTTGCTGGGAATTGAACTCAGGACCTTTGGAAGAGCAGGCAATGCTCTTAACCACTGAGCCATCTCTCCAGCCCAGCTGCACCATTATTTTAAGAGGTTTTCAGGGACCAGGTGGTGGTGGCTCATGCTGGGAGGCTGTGAGTTCAGGGCTAGCCTGGTCTACAGAGCAAGTTCTAGGACAGGCTCCAAAGCTACACAGAGAAACCCTGTCCTGAAAAACAACAACAACAAAAAGTTATCAGGGTCGCTATGCTGGAAGTACCAAAAGTAAAAGCTTTTTTGTCTTTTTCAGGTTGCTTCATGTGCGAAATGGAAATTGCAAATATCATCTAGGTGAAGAAACATTCAAATTAGCTCAGACATACATGGATAAGTTAACAAAGCATGGCCAGCAAGCAAACAGAGCTGCTCTCTATGGAGAACTATGTGCACTTCTATTTGCAAAAAGCCACTATGATGAGGTGAGTTGGCTTGCTGTTTTGAGACAAGGTCTTTGGCCTAAGCTGCCTTTAAATTTGTGGTCTTCCTCTTTCACCCTATCAAGTGCTGGGATTGCCGACCTGTGCCACACTGTTTCAAGGTAGCTCCCATTGGAACAGGATAAGCCAGTTCTCTTACCTGTCTTCTGAGTTACATTTCAGGTATTGGGTGGTCCTCAGGGTTTTTGTTTTTTGTTTTGGATAAGACAAGACTTGGTAGCCTGAGGCTCGGGCTCCTGAGTGCTGAGGTCAATGCTGCTCAGATGGCAGGCAGGCGAGCACCACCACTCACAGCTTTCACATGCTAGGTTCCTGTCCCTGTCGTAGGTTTCATTGCAGAATGGAAAAATACTTCATTTGCTTTTTGGGTTTGTTTGTTTGTTTGTTTGAGACAGGGTTTCTCTCTCTAGCCCTGGATGTTCTGGAACTCTCTCTGTAGACCAGGCTGGCCTTGAACTCACAGAGATTCATCTGTGTCTGCCTCCTGAGTGCTGGGATTAAAGACGGTGCGCCTTTAATCTAAAAATAGATTTATTAAATTTGTTAAATGTAAACAGATTTATTTTTGATTGTGTTTCATGTATGTCTGTGTGTTGCCGTGTGTACATGAGTACAGAGGAGGCTAGAAGAGGGTATTGGGCTCCAGTTACTACGGGTGGTTGTAAGCAATCTAGTGTGGACGCTGGAAATAGAATGTGGGTCCTTTGTAAGGCCAGCAGCTACTCTTAACCACTGAGCCATCATTCCAGCCCTTTTTCATATGTATGCGTGTGTAGTATGCATAAATATGCATATATCTATTCACATGCTTGTGAGACCATGTATGTTGGCAGGTGCATGTATACATTTGTATGCATGTGTGCAGAAGTTCAAGAATGATACTGGGAATCTCAATCACTATTCCAGCTTGAGGCAGGACCTCTCAGTTAAGCTCAGAACTTACCAAAATGGGTTATCTTGCTGTCTTCTTTCTTTATATAATAGCAGTTGTCACTATCCAGGGTAACTTACTTTGCTTTTTTTGCCTTCTGCTAATCACTAGGAAAAGGTCATTTTTGTTTGTTTTGCTTCATATTACATAGATGCTAGCTCATTGCCTGCACTTGACCTCTGTAACTTTCTTTTCCACAATAATAGACATACCATGTGCTGTGTTATCAGTTAAATGTATCAATGAACATGAAGTGCTTGTAATATCCAGTATAAAGTAGGCACTCTCAACTAAACACATAATTAATAGGGAAAATTATAACTGGGTATAATGATGTGCACCTTTAATCCTAACAACTGAGACAGAGGCAGTTGGATGTCTCTCAGTTTGAGGCCAGCCTGGTCTACATAGTGAGCTCTAAGCCAACCAAGGTTATAGTGAATCCTGTCACAGATAGAAAAATGGGTGGAGGGAGGAGCTGAAATGTTACAGAAGGGAAAGGAAACTGTGTGAAAGCTAGTCTAGGACTGAAGCCTTAAAATATACTTAGTTCATTGAGGGGCTGGAAGAAGGGGAATGTTTGCTAAGGCAGGGTCAGGGAGCTGCTGTATGCAGTAATGGCTTCTGGAACATAGAATATAGAGCAGGCCTCATTTCCTGAACATATATCCCATCTATAATACTTTAATTTATAAAAACTATAGGAGTGTTTTGATATAGGATTCATATATAGGTTCACCTCCAGCTCACTGAGCTCAGGAAACTCCTGCTACCGTGGCCTCGCTGACTCTGGAATGACAGGTGTGCACCACCACACTTTGCTTGAGGAAGATATAGAGATAAGAGTAGAAATAGTGTGATCAACTCAGCACTTTCAAAAGATCACCTCAGAAAATTTCAATTATAAATATTCTTGTGTGTGTTTAAGTATTTTAAATCTTGTAGGAAAATTTACAATAATTTCATTAAACACTTGTCATTTAGTTTGTCACTTTGTTTCAGTTCTTTTCTCTTCTCAATTTTTTCAAAGGCGTATAAGTGGTGCGTTGAGGCAATGAAGGAAATTACAGCAGGCTTGCCAGTCAAAGTTGTGGTGGATGTTTTAAGACAAGCTTCTAAGGTGAATATGATGTCTAAAAATAAAATGTTTTTAACAGCAGTCTTTGATAACTGACTAGATCTGTGTTCTGAGTTTCTGTGCTTAGTTTCTAATCAAAACTGTCCCATAGCTTAATCCTAGCACTTGGGAAGCAGAGGCAGGTGAGTGTCTGAGGTTAACCTGGACTACATAGCAAGATCCAGGACAGCCAGGGCTACATAGAAAGACCCTATCTCAAAAAACAAATAAAAAACTGCCTCATAAGTTTTTCATTATCAAAGAAACCTGTAAAAATAATTGTTTGAGCTCACTGAAGTACACATCACAGTAATATTTGATGCTTGAATTTTTGTCTTCCTTAAAGCTGTGTAGTAACCTCAGTTTCTCATTGGAAATCGTGTGGACCCGTACACCTAGAGCGAGGCTGTCTTCTGTAGGATTTACCTTCCTTCTGCATTGCATTTCTCAGTGAGAAAGCTTGTTATACTGGACCTGATAGACTGCCTTTGATTTTTCTCTAGTTTCTTTTTTTGTAAATAAGTATAAGAATTCTTTGAGGCTATTTATTAGTACCTCAAAGTTAGCTTTAGTATACAAAAGCCTTGAAATAAAGCACTGATGAACTTTAATATATGTTCTTTGTATCGAAGTTACTCAAACTTGAGTATTCCATTTTGGTTGCTTTTATCTGAGTCGTTTCTTTTTTTTTTTTTTTTTTTTTTTTTTTTTTTT